TGAACACTACAGATGTGTGCGAGCTTCAGTAAAGACATTAATGATGTTTCATTTTCTTGGCTGGGTCGTTTATCCGTGTTATTTCTTCTTCTTTTGTTCATTTGTTTTAATTTGCTACTATGTACCTAATTTTATCAGGTGGTTAATTGTAGAAGCATTGTTAGACGGAAATGGTCGGACAAGGGAAATCCGAATAAGTGTTGGCATTTTTCACGGTGCGATGTCACAATAGCGTCGTCACACTATGATATGGTAGCACTTAGCAGATGTCGGGTTACTGACGGACTCAGGCAAGATGCCTTCGCAGTATTCTGTCAGTTGATTTGCTAGTTAGCAGGTAAAAATGAGATTTTAATGAATTTAGACGCTCGCTAACTAGGCTGCGCAAAAGCTAGTTAGAGCTATCCACTCAGTCGCTCCTGTACAAAGATGTAGTGCTGAATGTGCAACTTGAACGTAGTTTTCAACTTGAACACGCATTCAAACTGCACTGCCAACAGCGAATCGATGCCGTGTTCAATCCGCTAGCAATTGCGGTGTTCAAGGCATTAATTGCGCATTTGTACTTGAAGAAGCATTTCCAGCGTCGATTTCAGCCTACATCTTGATGATTCCGTGACATGCGACCCCTTCAACGTTGCCCTTACACACAGAGAGCTTACATGAGAGAAAGAGCATTCCACATGAAAAAAATATAACGTTTTGTGTGTGTTTGATATCTACGCTATCTGATTAACGAGGATATTGCTAAAGCAATCATATCATTGACGGGTCGCTCCTAGACTCTGAAGTAAACAAAGTCGTGCCTCAGAGACAACATTCACATGTCAAATCGCTTTGGGAAGGCTATAAGATTTATGTACTGTTGACAACATCAATCGTTCCACTTAAAATTTGTAGCAAGTCCCGCGCACAGCTATCCAAAACGACGAACCAGAATTGACAAGATTTACCTATGAGATAAACCAAACCAGTGATTTAGATCCCTGGTAAAACTCTGAGTCTGATTCCAGAGAATACTATCAGATAAAAAATGGGTTTAAGAATGCTTCAGGGGCCTTATTGCTTATTCTGGAGATTGTTTTTTCTGTGCATTTTGTACTTGGTATCCAAATTTGTATCGAGCAAATGGGGATATATCCAGATAGAAAGCTGCGAAGGCAGGAAGCATGAGTAAGTAAGACCTAATATTCTCGGTTAGTCACACCAAAAACAGTGGTGCTCTCTCCTTGTTCTTTACTCGGTAATGCTCGCCCCCACAAAGATCTAGAGTACATAAAAAGCTTCAGTGCTACTAGTAGTACGATTGATAGACTGCACCGGGAAATATTCTACACTGTACACAAGTAGTATGGGTTAGGAATTATAGACAATGCGGTAAAAATGTCCTCACGATCAAGATTCAACGGTACTAAATCGTTGTCCAGAGTGTTCTCGTATCATTAAGTGTGTTTCTGCTGAATGAACACTTACATCACTTTTCGCAACTGATAAAAGGGTAACCACAGACTCTCTCTGCATCTGAGGCCTTACAGTTTACCACCTGTCACCTTTTTACCCGCGTTCTTGAGAGCTTTGGCTACCTTGGCCTTCTCGAGCAATGCTTGCAATTTAATATTCGGTATCGGAGCAGTGACTTTGTTGACACTCTGAGATACAGCTTTAATGATCCCACGGACCCCGTCATAATTGCTCTGGACAACTTCTTGGCCCGCGACCCGAAGGGATCTCTTGGCGTTTGTCACAGAGTCAGGAGATGTCTTCAACACGAGCCGAGAGTCGTCATAATCAGGGAACGCTGCGGAGACGACGCTGCGAGCTAAGATCGCAAAGGCAAGAGCAATGTAGAATATACTGCGCATGATTGTAGAGAGGGTTTCCGGTGGAAGGAAGGGTCTTGTGGTCTTGGAAGGAATACGAGAAATGACTGCCGGTTGGTGTACTTTATACGAACAGCGCCCCCAGCACTGACCATAGCATTGGCCGAACAGTGTGACAACGTTTACCGTAATTTCAACACTGACAAACACGTTTCCTAGTGCGAGCGTAAGCATTGCAAAACCCTCCTAAATCAGATACTTTACTTTATATAGTATACTGAATCCTGGCAACGTTGCTGTCTGGACCATCGCCTAGCACTATGTAAATTGTCGCGTTGTGGTGGTGTAGTGCTGCTGCATGAATCCCGGAGCAGGACAGTAACCGGGAGGATTCGTTCTGGCATTCGATTACGTAGTCCGCTTTAAGTACGCCGTTGTAAGATAGTAGCTTCACTTTCAGCATTAAAGGTTAAGCAACCAAAAGCACGGAGCGCAACATTCCGCACGAATTTTCTTCTTTCAGATTCGAATATATAAGTTGAGGATCACAGAGGTTGAACAAAGTAATATCGATGCAATAATGTGTGAATGTTTTGTACGGAATACCTTATTCCATGCATCTTGCTCCCAATACTTTGCAAATGTGTAAAAATACTTTGTGACTGGCGGCCTTCACAAAGTTGTCTGAAGAAGCGATGTGTGG